TTATCACAAGTATATCAATCAATTCAATCATCACATATTTTGCACCAACCACAACATTCACACCGACATCACATAATGCACAATAAATCAATAATTCACATCGACACATGTGACTCCAATGCAACTCAAATGCATTATGCATGTGGTACTAAATATTATCCTTACCAGTCATGTCAAGTCCATATCTCCAAGACAGATAACCACCAATAAAAGCCCTCGATTCAGCCATAAGTTTTCAAACCCCATTCAACATTGGGTTTGGGCCAAGTCAATAGTTCTCATGGAATTACCAAATCTTACCTCTTGACACAAATGATGTATGTACATGTGAAATCTCAACAACTCATCACATAACTCAACACATTTTGAATTATCTTCACAACATTGCACAACATACATCTTTCATGTCAATCAATCACATATACACAATCTCATAGTATAAATCATCTCAACACATCATTATAACATGTAGCAATTAGATACAAATCATTCTATATTCAAACATCATCAAATTTCAATACTTATATACACAATTAAAGTGTTAAGTTTCTCATCAAAATGTTTCCAAAACCAATTCAAAACACATCGAATAAATTATTAAAATTCATGTAAATTTATGATAAATCGTAACATACAATATCCCAATTCCATTCATGTGCAAAATAATTTTTCTGTGTCCAGCCACCCACGCTAAGCGGCCTTGCCCGCGCTAAGTGCCCCATGCGAAAACCAGAAAAATTTGCTGCGAATAACTACTGACTTGTGCATGAAAATCACCATAGAGACATGTTCTAATGCCCATTTTTCATCAAATAAACATATTATAACATGTATACATCATAGGGAACCTATTTATATAATAAAAACTAGATTTCAAAAACCTAATTTCCAAATCCCTAAATAAATTTGGGTGATTCAAAACCTAGAAATTCACATACCCGATCCTATTACATGTTACTACCCTCATATACTCTCATAATAACATAGATTCTCACCCTTATCTTGAGTATGGAGTCTTTAGGCTTGCCTCTTCACTTTTCCTCTTTTCTCTTCTTTCTCCTTTTCTCTTCTCTTCTCTTCTTTGTTTTTGCTTTTATGACAACACTTCCCTTTTTTTAATACTCTATTTCATTAATGGGCCTAATTCCACTTACCTATTCTATTGACATAAAGCTCAATTCTAATTATTTTATATTCTTACTAAGAAATCCAATTATTTAAATAACAGATATATTTAAATAATTCAAATATTCACCAAATCACACAATTAAATTAATTACTTTGTAATATACTAATTAATAAAATAATTAAATAATACTAAATAAAAATCGGGATGTTACACGACCCAACGTGCTGGCCCAATCCATTGAGGATAGTAGAGAACATGTTCCTCACGTGCTCCTCATCCGAGGACACTTCACCAACCGATCCCGTATACCTCACGATATCGTTTTTCTCTTTGTAACGGTCAAGCTCGTCTACTATCCATGGAATGCAAAGTGGTTGATCTAGAACGATGAGCGCGAACTACTCATCCCTAGTTTCACGTGGAAATCTTGCCAGTCATTTGTTGTGGGCCTGAGCACTCGACCCATAATGGAGACCATTGGCCAAGGACTGAGGGCTCACTATTAAAACCCTCATTTGTAGAAGGGTCAGGTATTCTATTATTTACCCTTTCTTACTTACCTCTTCACTCTAACTGACTTAAGAATCAGAGTACCTGCAGGTACAACCCCCCTTCATTGATCATTCAAGACTATGAACATGTCGTCGTCCATTCACTTACTTTGATCAACAGGTAATATAAGATGCCATTTAGAGCGAAGTTAGACAAGGATGTCTTAAAAGTCTTCCAAGAAATAGGCAAAGTACCAAGAAGCAACAAACCTCGAATTTCATCATCAAAAGTAAGATTCATCACTAATAATTGATTTATAATACCTTGAAAATTATTCAAGTGATCGGTCATTGGTGAACCATCATTATACCTCAATGACATCAATTGCTTGAACAAGAACAACTTATTGTTCCCCGTCTTTCTTGCATACAACTTCTGAAGTTTGGTCCAAAGTGAGTGATCATGAGTCACCGAGCTCACATGATTCAAGATATTATCATCCACCCATTGACGAATGTAACCACAAACATGTCTATGCAACAAAACATATTCTTTGTCACTTTTTCCTTTCCAAACATTATAGTTGGATCCATTCAAACTCACCATCATAGATGTGTTCGTCTCCATTGTTACACAATACCACTTGTTGGGTGTATACTACAAATGCAACGAAATAATTCAACAACACAATCTCTCTCAAATACCAAATACAATGACAATCAACAAAACACACCAAACAACACAAATTTTAATATGGAAAAACTTTTGTTAACTAGAAGTAAAAAACTACGGAACTCGTATGCCACTTAATCCCCACTATAATTGACAATGGATACAAGTAAAGTTTTCTCTAACACTAGTTAGAGACATACATAAACATCATCAAGACCTATAATCAATCTTAGAATACAACAAGAAACAAGAGATACAATCAACCAAAACAATCAGAAAAAAACAACACCTCAAAAAACCACTCAATAGATGGGTCTAGAAAATTCAAAATTAAATATCTACCATTCAAAAAGTACCTCTATGAGTGTTGAACACTACCACCAAAAATCAGGACGATCTGACGGTTGGATTTTGAGAAAACTCTGATCTCGTGGGACTAGTCTGTGCTGAATTAGAGTTGCGGGAATTTTCACTCTTTCCTCTACTTTTGCTTTTGTCTCTTACACAAATGAATTAATAACCTAATTCTCTTTATTGGATTATAACATAGACTTACACAAATGAACTACTAACTCACGCTCATTTGAATCACTCTAAATAAAAGAAATAACCCTTACGTTTAAGTCTTGGATTATTGTCACGCAACTCTTATATAGATATTAGAATGTAAGTTGAAGTCATGCCAATAATTTTAAGTTATTATATGACTCTTTAAATAAGTTCAATTAAATTATTCTACGGTTAATTAATAAATTTAAGAAAGTTTAGTTATTATATAGCTCTTTAAATGAGTTCAATTAAATTACCTTACGGTTAATTAATTTAAAAAAGTTTGATATCACGATCCTTTAGTAGAAAATACACTAGAAAAAGTAGTTCTTACTTCACATTATTTATTTATTTTTTAAGTAAAAAACCATGGGATTAGCCTTATGAAGCAATTGAAGAGATGAAGATTTGGACTTTTATTGTGTATATTTTGATCAAAGTGGGAGTTTTTATCGGGTAACTCCATTTATGTACTTTGTTTTAGTTTTGAATTTTACTTTGACGTAACTATGCCAAACAATTTCAGAGACCACATTTGGTGTACTATTATGTTTTGTATCCTTCCCAATCTTTAGCATTCTCATTGCACCAAAGTATTTGTCCATGCAAATAAGTGATTTGAAGTTAATATATCACGTTAGAGATGTAGTTCTAGAAGTCAAGCTAAACCATTTTAGAGACTTCCACCATCAACTTTTGGTTCAATTTGATTACCAGTTACAATCACTATAAAAAACTAAGCTTTATTATCAATAGAAAACTATAAAGAGCTTGTTGAGTATTTCTGTATTTGCAACCTAAAAAGAATCTTAATTCTCATATGATGATAGATGATATACATGTGATGTAGGTCAATTATCCAGCAAAGAGAAGTGAACTGAACCAACAACTTAAAATTGCAAGTAGCTAAGGCTTAATTGTCCTACTCCTCCTACCCAACTACCACCCACCATTATATATACATACAGTTGGGTACACCTATATGCATTAATATCATCACATCTACTCCAAAAAATAAACAATTAAAACTCGTCTACAATGGTGCTTCTATCCAAAATGGTCACTCTTTAGTCCTCTCAAATGTTTGTGAAAAACTAACTATCTTTCCTTCAAAAGGGTGTCCTACTTACCAAATTATAGGACCACACAAATCAATAAGCATGGCTATATTATATCACCTAAATGCCACCATTTTTTACTTTGTTTACAACCTTGCTCAAAATTTCCCATTTCTTAAATCCACCTAAGACGAGGAAAGATACAAATTCAAAGACTTTTTTGTAAGTAGATACGGGATATCCTCTGCACGCAATTGCTGAGACTAATCTCTCAGGACAAAGAGGAGCACAATGAACAGTAAAGCTCTCCTTCAAGAAAATTTTAACTGATGAGTGTCCGTTCTCAGAGCTGAATTTGAACCCAGAACCTCTGGTTAGGAGGGAAGAGATCCCTTACCATCTCATCTAAGTGTTCTTGGTTACAAATTCATTATCAATTATTATAAGATAAGATCCATTTATTAATTAATTCACCAGCAAATCTAATCTAAAGCCAAACATACCATGAGTGTACTTTATGACACAAAATAAAACAATTGCTTGGGGAAGTGATAGTGGAAGCAACCATATATTACTACCATATAATATACAATAAAAAAACCCCTCAATATTGCAATCTACACAACAAGTCCTCTTAACAAAATGAGAAGAAGAAAAAAGTTGTAAAGCTGAATCTTAAATCTAACCAAACAAAACAACAGCCTCATTGAGCACTTGCATTATTATATTCATTAAAAAATGAAAAATGATGATGATTATGAACCCCAATAACTTCATCTGAAGGGACAATGTTTCATGATTCTTCGTGTACTACTTCACTACTTCATATAATAATATAATCATACAATATGCTATTCTGACAAACAGACAATGTGACACTCCTAAAAATCCCAGTTATAATATACTAATAGCAATGATGATAATAATTAAACAAATAAACAAACAAACAAATCAAGAACAGATATTCTTAATCTTAACTTCTTAACTTCTCATTCACACTTGCAACATAATAATAATAATAATAATAATATTCAATCCTCAATTTCAATTACTGTTATTATAACAATATAATAGTGGAATCAAACAAGATAATAAGGGAATTAAAGATGGCATCCAAAGCAATTACAGTACTTAGGAGCAAAAGAACAGAAACCAAAAGGCTTATTAGGAATGTTGCAATTGATGGCATAGCAACAAGGAGAAGGTATGCAAACACCTTTAGCTCCACCACAGCATGTACAAAGAGCACATATCCTGAAACTTCCAAGTTTCCTTCTGCTATCATTCATCATAATCATCATCTTCTCCATCTTCCCATCTTCCATCACAGGTACCATTGGAAATGACCCATTTGCTTCCTGTTGATAAAAAAAAAACAATCTTTTTCAATTTTTGAAACTACCCACATAAAAATAAACTAGATCCATGCATTATATTTAAAAGGGTGGACATAGATTGTAGAGAAGATTTACATGGAGCAAGGTTGCCTCATTGGCTAAAATAGAAACAAAAATGAGAGAGAAGATGAGACAATGAGAAGGAATCATCATGGTTTGTTTTGTCACAGACAAGATATTGTTAGTCTTAGGTTTGTGTTTGAAAAGGGGTTACTTGGTAATCTTGTCTTGTGTGGATGAGATTGAATTTTGGTGTAACATAAATGAGTATTTGGTGGCTATTTATGTTTAAATTTGTGAGTTTAGTAAATCAAACTAGCTAGCTTGGAAGATTGAAAAGTAAAGAGAAGGAATAGAGGTTAAAAATGGAAGGAAAATGAATTATGAGTTGGAATTTGGAAGAGAGGGTTTAAGAAAGGGGGAAACAAGGGTTTCCTTTGGAAACAGAGGTCACAGGAGTGACCTTGTGTGTAGAAGTAAAGAGAAAAGTGACAGAGAAAGAAAGAAAGTGTGAGAATTTATTTAATTGAAAATATTGAACTCTCTCTCTCTACATGAAACTAGTAAAGTAGTACAAAATTAAAGACATAAAATAATAGCCGGAAATTTGACTATGGAAAGTTCTTGAGTTTACACTAGTATGTTGACTACAAATTTGGTTATAAATTGGTGTGGAGTTGGATCTTACATTAGGTGCCTCATTGGATAGTTTGAAATCTCATCCAAATTTGGTGTGGAGTTGGATCTTGCATTCGGTGGCTCATTTGATTAAAAAGTTATTTATGTAATTACTAGACTATTTTGAAATCTATTTTCTGAAATCATTTGGTTAAACTAACTATTTAAAAAGGTGACATTTTTTTCTATGAAGAGTGGGGTTCAATTGGCCTCGTCAATCATACAAGGCATGCTTTAATAGTCTTAAGTTTTATGAATGATCATTCAATCTTTTTAATAAATTAGATTCTTGCTTCAGAAATTTTGTATTGATAAATAGCATAAACCGTAGAAAGTTTGTTATTTTGAAGATTTTGCTCACATTTATCTAAAAGAGATCTTGGTCTGAGATATATTAAGACAATAAAAAAAGTTGATTATTTATCTCTTTGTTAGAAGTTGTTAACTACCAATAATCAACGGTCTTCTATGTTTATTAGTAGATACTTCAGGCAGAACAAATCAATCATACATCATATTTCTTCTCCAATATGGTTGTCTGACATTAAGCATTCTTTTTCCTTTTTGGAGGAATAAAGTCGATGGCATGTTGGTAATGGAAAGGACATTGATTTATGGACTGACAATTAATAGGGATACAAAATTAAAGATTTACTCTTAATATTGCTATTGGACAGTAAATTCAATTATCCATGACATCAATTAGAATATTACACGTGGCTTATCTATTTTGGCTCCTCAAGTTATTGACGGTATTTTGAAGATCAACTTATCATTTGTTAATACTACTGTTGTAAACTCATTTAGACAGGATCTGCAAATGATGATCTATCTTTTAAAGATGCCTACAAATGTGTTAGAATGAATCACTTTGAATCTTCTCAGACAAAATTCATTTAACATCCCTATGTACCTCCTAATAAGTCATTAGTGACTTGGAAGCTAATGCATTATGTTAATGCAACAAATGATAACTCAATTTGAAGGAAATGCATATGGTTTTAAGGTGATCACTACAATCATGATTTGAAAATTGGTGGCCGCTTATTTCTTATATGCAGGTACACCTTACTTTTCTAAAAACTGATGGAGCGACTGTTTAGATGAACATTGAGAAACCTAGTTATTAAAGCTTATCTCAAAAATTTAGAATTTGATCATGATTCTTATCATAATATATTTTTTTGGAAAATTTGGCACACAAGAAATGATGTTAGGTTTTAAAATGGTAAAATTGACTTTGATAGAGATATTTTGCATGTTAAATAATTATTCTATATGAAATCTATTATAGGTCACATGTATCCTTCAATTCATGAGTTTACAATTATTTAATATTTTGACATTAAATACATGTGCAGATAGATTAATCAATGCCATTTTTTTATTATTTATGACACTTGATGTGATTCACTTATTATTTGTGATTTTAAAAGTTTTTTGAAACATATATTAGGCATGTCCAACTATCATTTTTACTAGTTATTTGATGGGTTAGGTTTCATGTCTTCATCCTTTTTGTTTTTCATTTTTATTCAATAATGTGTTTTTATTTAAAAAAGTTCAGTTGATAACTGCTAGAATATTAATATTCTAATATCTAAATTCAGTTGTAAATTGTGTCTTCAATGACTATCTAAAAGGTAAGAAGGGTTATGAGTTATTGGGAATTAAACTTAGAGGGTCGAAGTTCATCAATTGCAAATGTATAACTTTTAATGAGACTCGTCCAGAAAAGAAGAGTAAATACCTGAGGATGAAGCTTTTATAAACTATGACAGAGAAGACTCTGTTTGAGATGGAAGTTCCTAATATAAATACTAGTATTAGTGAGGGAACAATGACACAGGCCTCTAACTATCATTTGACTAGTGATAAGGTAGAGAGTGATATCGTACCATCTCAAAGGGACGGTTATGTTTCTCTGGGATGTTATGCTTTGAATGTAGTTGAAGGATTGTAAAACTCAAAAAAATGGACATTAATGGAAGAATTCAAAAATAGGTGGAGTCAAAGATGGTTGAAAATCATACTTGTGGACTTGTTAGACTACTAAAGCAAGAAAAGATAGTTATAAACAAATGGATACAAGTGGCAATATCAAGGTTCAAATGTGGCTTAAACTTGATCAATGTTGTTGAATTATGATTCAACATGGTAGAGAGCAACAAGGTGGTTAGTGAATAAATTGGCATCACCACAGTTTCAGTTTCAAGTCATGGTGGATATTGTTAAAGTGTGTCTTAAAACTTTAAATGATGACGAAAAAACATATATCGATATTACAAAAATCAAAAAGTTGTAAAAGCATCTATGAGATCATCATAAGGCATCAAAATCGAAGGTGGGCGACCCGATATAGGTGGCGGGAGACAACCATCGAAAATTGTAAATCGGTTGGCCGGCGGCTCAACAGAGTGACAGTTTGGGTCGGTTCGCAAAGGTTTAGGTTTTTGGTTATCCTGTCCATTTTCTCAGTTCGTGTGTTTTGAGATTTTTCATTTCAATTTGTGAATATGTGCGTTAATAGGTTGTATATGGATCTGTTGGATTTCAACAGTTATAAAATGTATTTATGACATTCTTGATATCACAACCTTAAAAAATTTAGAGATGAAGGCAAAGAGAAGGATTTTGGAATCCTAGTGGTAATCTTAGAGAGGCAGGGGTAAATTTCTAAGAGTGTGTTCTTAGAATTCAAGAAACTCTTATAAATATCTAAGGGGGGTTGGTAAATACTTATAAACATGTTGGACTTGTGTGATTCATATATAGAGAGTTAGAAATATTGGAAAACACTTGGATAATTTATTTTGGTGGTCAATGTTCTTTGTCTCCACCCATTAAATTTCTTAGTGTGATTAAACCTTTCAATTTCATAACAATGCCTCTTAATTTTTTTACGTTATGTTTTTATTGTCATTTATCATCTTGTTCGTTCTTTATACGATATTTAAGTATGTGATTCTATTCTAAATATGTTATCTGGCTTGAGGCTGAGTCAGCTCCCTGACTTAAAGCCGAGTCAATCTATAATACGATAACCTCGCACACTTAGCAAGCACATACTGGTTATTCTAGATATTTCATCCACCCTTCATGCTTCTTACATAGTTATTATCAAGTGGGTAACTTTATTCTCTTTAATATGGATATAGGGTATCATGTTTATAACAACAACTTACATGTGAAGAATTGCTTTTGCACTCTTTATGAGATAGGTCATTGTTCGTAAAAAATGATATAACATTCCACGGTCTCTCAAGAATGAGACATATAAGGACGAAGTGTTTCAAAGATAAAACAAATGTTCATAGTTTGTCAAGCACAAGACTTGTAAGGGCAAAATTGTTGAGGGCGAGGATATGATAGTCTGCAGTTCCTCAATGGGAAAAATGTTTGAAGGCAATGTAATAATGTTACCACATTTGGGTTTAAGATTAGGTTAGATTATGGTCATTCAAATACATATGATGGTTGATCTTGTGATCAGTGGATTTAATTAAGAGATTAAGTATTTCATTAATGTTGGAAATGATTGAAAATATCATAGGAATGACTAGTTAATCTAAAATGTTACCTAATTTATGGGCTTGCAAGTATACTCATTGGTACTTTATTATACTAATGATGGATATATGCTACCGAAAGGTATCTAGTCTAGAGGGATTTTCTCTCTATAAATACTAGAGTATTAGATATCATTTCTATCGCTTCTTTTCCCCGTCGTTTTATCCAGTAATTTTTATCTTGCCCTTACGATAACTCGTGTGGCCTTAGTTATCCTCTCATTCATACAAATCCTTATCAAATGTATTATCTTCTTGTACGTGTTCGCCTTTTTTTGCTTTCTTGTTTAGAACATGGTAATTTTTAGTGATTGTGACATTTGTGGTAATGTGGTTGATCTCGATACCCATGAGAGAAGTGAGAGTTGTGGCATTATTATTGTGACAGTTTAAAACATATGAGGGATAAAGTGAAATGAAGATTTGTCTAAATGGCTATCTTTAGGACTTATGTTAGTACTTTAAGTAAATATGTTAATGAAGATATTAATCATAGTGTTGTTAATTTGGTTTTTTCTTTACCCTAGACTGACATGACCACTGAATGCGACTACCAACACGTGTTTAGCTGTCATCACTAAAGAAGTGGGAAAAAATTGAATCTTTATTTAATAGTGAACCGAAGGTAAAATCTTTCCACATATATCTTTTATATCATCTACTAGAAGTGAAGATAATATTTTGTTGGAGCTTTACATATAGGACAATTAGGCATGCATGATGCGTTTTCAATGAGTTAAGGATGAATATATATATATATATATATATATATATATATATATATATATATATATATATATATATATATATATATATATATATATATATATATATATATATATATATATATATATATATATATATATATATATATATATATATATATATATATATATATATATA